CCAGGGGATTTGTACACGCAGTGGTACGGCCGCGCGTCGCGGCAAAATTGCAGTCAGGCAATTAGATGGCGTCGGTCGGTCACCCCTTCCTGTACTTCCTTTGTCGGTGAGGGGGTACTTGTGAACGGAGCAGATAATGACCCATGTCTGATTTCTGATCACGAAGCACTGCAAGAGATCGAAAGTGTTGATTTTTAGCGGAGGGAGAAATACTCCAGAGCTCGCAGAAAAAAATCTCGTGGCACAGGAGAGAACCTACTCTACTCACATATGGTCCAAGTCGGGAATGGAACCCATGCCACAGTGGGTACAGGTTATGAACTAGCCATCATGAAGCCCATTCAAGGGCCTGTCAAGTCGAAAGCACTGTAGTAGTTCATCGACAGCAATGGTTAAGATGATGAGAACATACGGGTATTTTAGGGTAGAATTATTAAGACATTTGAGTAGATTGTGCATCGCGAACAAATCATATATTTAGCTAATATTAATTATAAATACAGTAATCAGACGACAACAGACTGTTGATAGTTTAAAATGTTTAAATCCACTGACGGGTGTTGCCGTCGTCATGGAAAAGTGTGACGTCATGTGTGGTTGACGTCATAATGACGTCACGGTGATAAATGTTTTCGTTTCCTGTCCAAATAAAAAAAAAGACATGGACGATTGTAAATTACCATTTTCATCTAATTAAGCACGTGGAGCCGTTCGGCAGGCATTCACGGCATATAGTAAAGACTAAGTGTGTGAAAACAAAGCGTGTACATTAACTAGTATTATTGCAAAAGAAACGTGTCTGTTAAACGCGTGGCGTCGAGCCTAACATAATATTCTCAATTCCTGGCCCGCTTGACAATTATGGTGTAAAATTGTTTGTTGGTTGCTCACCTTTAGACTACATGTTGGTAACATTTTCTGAAGACTATTCCCACGTCAGAGTGCGCGGCATTTTTGCAATGTCAAACATAAAACCCAGTGAGCTTAATCTGGCCTAAAAAGAAAGCTAATGCGGCGTTCGTGACTTAAATAATGAGCTTGGAAAACCACAACTCTTTTTAGTATTGAGGGTCTTTATTGTTCAAATTATTCCCATGTTCGTCCCGTTTCTATAGATTGAAAAGAAATTCACACCAGGTGAAACGTCAATCGATATGGCAGAACAGTGCATGTAGGGTAAATGCGATCAAATAAAAAAAATGTATGAACCTTGCATCAAAAGCTTACTTCGCGCTGGCTGTTTTTGCAAACATACACAGATCATTGATTGCTTAAGCAACTTTGGTTTCAGGGGACAAAAAGGTTCAGAATTTGTGAAAACAAAAAGGCGCTTATATTTGTATCGAAATTTAAGTTGCAGATGGAAGCTGACAAAGAACTTTTTTTTTCATTTTGACGGACGACGAATATGTAATGACATCAACGATACTTAGACAGACAGGCTGACTGAAACTGACATAAGACTTTAGCGTACATGACTTGTTATTATCTGTGATGTAGCCTTGGTCGAGACGTTCGACGATCGGGCGCACCATCGGTTGTTCCAAGGCATGCAAGGTGGTCGTTCAGCACCAACTGATTTGCATATTGTAGCCTTGCCGAGTGAGGTCGCTGTTCGCGCTTCGTACAGTACGTGTGCATAGCTGTGCACTAATCCTCGTTTCCAATAGCAAGCCCTGGATAGGAAACTTTCTTCCTGTATCCTGATTCGATATCGCGATTGGCTAGTAATGGATTTATATCGTGTACTTGGTGGTGTTATTTTAAACATGTATTACGTGTTTTCACGTTTACTGTAATTATTACGTCCATACCTCAAAATTAATCTTTTCTTTCCGATTTGCTCATATTAATATAAAAATGTGAATCTGCACATTGGCTGGATTATCATATTTTAACTTCAAAATCAATTGTGCTTTCGTAATTCACGGCTCGACGAATTGATTCTGTTTTAACCCCAGACACCGCACACGAAAACAAACGCGAATGTAATGGTGTTATTTTAAACATGTATTACGAGTTTGTCACGTTTATTGTAATTATTACGTCCACACAGACTATTTATCATTTGCATACGTATCCAAAAATGTTGGACATGCAAATGATCGAATGTCAAAGTGAGAGAGCAGGTAGTGGTGGTGGGCGCGAACGGCTCGACAGCCTGGGGGCGAGGTTAGGCTGAGCTGTACTCGGCTACTGTTTTTGTTTGCGGCAGAAATCATTGGAAACTTTCGTTGAAGCCTTGACCAAGGCTAGTTATACTGTGGAACAGTGATTAAACTGTGTTTTAAACTGATTGCCGATAACGTCCTGACAAAAAAACTCGGGCAATACCGTTCATCAAACTGACACGAAGACCGACCTGATTGAACAATTCGTAAGGTCAAAATTGCATTCCTTGTATACTGACAATGAGCGTAAACAGACAGACTGACTTCCTGACTTTTAATGACCGACAGACCCCTGGAAAGCTTTCACTGCAACTTCTTTTAAAGTATGTTATAAATATTTCTGAGTCCGTGTATATAAAATAATTTTGCATCTGTGAAGTTTCTCAGCACATTGATTGAGGATTTTACTTTCAAGCATTTAACTTTGTGTAATGTAGGCCTAAGTAACTTAATATGGTATCTGCAAATTAACAAATACAACATATAATGATACATAAACTGTTGCAACTATGGATCAATTACGTCATGCAAAATATCAAGACAGCCTAAACTAATGTATCGATATACAAATATATCAATATAGAAATTCAGTATAACACAACTCTGAAATACTTGCTGTATTGTGACGACCATTAACCTGTTTTGAGGCTAAGAAGCGTAAAACCTGATAATTATCCATGTAAAAAAGTGAATTTGAAACCAGCTACCATTGTTACCAGCTACACAAACGTAATATGTAGGAACTTAAGTATTTTTCGCACGAAGCCATTCATGATACACACGTTATCACAGTATATTTAACTTTGTAATGTTAAGTTGAAACGATTAAGTTCACTCTCTAAACAAGACTTTCGTTGAGTTTGTGTCATTGTCGTTCATGCAATTATGTAAAAAGTGCGATAAAGACGAGCTAAGCCTGGCTATCCTTTGTTTTCTTCTTCTTAAAAATATTCGTGGACAGACGTCTTGTGGTTGGTTTTGTCTAAATCTGAGCATTTGTATTACAATACAGGGACAAAAGAACTCGCATTACACAGTAAGACACATTAAACGATTGCACGTATCACTTAAAATTGTAATACTCGTTATGTTTTTACTTGTATGTGTTGCTATGTGTAAGACACCAATGAGTGTGAGCCCAGAATATGGTTAAATAAACTAAATGAAGTAACAAACAATAATAACAAATAATGTTTCACATGTGTACTTGAGATCCATACACAGTCCATATGCCCACTGTTTGGAATAGCGCCCCTATTGTTAAATTGTGTCAGGTCAGGTTTTTTTTTTTTTTTTCAAGGAACATTCCGGGGTTCCTTGGTGTGAGTTTTTTTTCCATACCACTAATTCGCTATGGGCGTATACTGCATGCACTTTCAGTTACGAGTCAGGTTCTCCAAACCACAAATTGTTAAAATATAAATGTTCCAAATGATTAAAAAAAACATTTAAAGAAAACAAAAATGAAAACAAACCTATTCAAATGAGAATCGATCTCCCCTACCACCAAATTAAAAATTCAGTGCACTATCCATGATAGTATAACATTATTGCATGTACCGCGCCCTCCAGCATAATTCTATATAGAGTAGCGATGTGGTATGGTACAAAATTCGCTCTCTCGCAATTTTCCCTGCAAACCCCCTGAAAAAGTTCAAAAATTATCATATGAAAAGTGTTAAAAAAGTGAAATGAATAGCACCCTCTGTGATAATTTCGTTAATAGTTGGGTAAAAAAAATAATAATAATAGTAATCCTTGCCCCGTCCGCCTTAAACAGCGCCCCCATTGGTTAGATGGTATCTAGGACCGTGGGCTATTATGTTGTTTTCGCTGGTACCCACCGCCCAAACAGGTTGCTGGGCAATTATTTCTTCTGAATGTATGACGGAATTTCTTCGAGCTCGAATTGGAAAGAAGTTGTTTGAACAACAACAAGGCCGGGTCAAGCTTTCCGCCCGAGCATGACACGTGCGCACAGAATGTGCGTCCATTCATTGGAGAGGTAGTTATAGATCCGCTTTGCGTGCCTGTGTTTCCTACATAATGTTGTGCAGAAGATCAACCCTTCGCGATCCAAGCTAAGGTTTGGAAAGGAGCGAATAATTATGCTGATTCGGTTGAATGGAATTAGAATGCTTCTCACTTCAAAGTACAGATACAGGTGCTGAACACCTGTGAAACTTCAAAAACACAACCCTGTCTTGGCAACGGGCCAATATCTGCCCTCTAAAATCAAATAAAGAAACCCATTTGAGAAATTGCTTTATTGATAGAGCCTTGCTCCGCTTGCTGCATGCCATGCCGGCCACCGTGAAAGCTAATTAGGTCAACGCGTCCAGATGTACATGCAAGCCTATACCAGCAGTATAGTCTACCAGTTGGCGTCACTGGCAGTAGTCTATCCGTTAGAGTCGTAAGACTGTAGACAAGTGGGCCTTCAAAAAAATAGTGATCGCACAGATACTCAATCTTTGAGATGAACACTGATCATTCAAGACTACTGACGGAGGAAATCGGCATCTACTTGAAGTAAAGAGCGCCCTCCAAAGTTTGTAACAAGAAGGGGACAAGTTTGTGAGGTCAGTTCAGGTCGTTTCAAAATGACAGCTTCACGTGTACAATTCTAGTTCTGTTGTAGGGATGTGACACTACGCACATCATTATGCTGCAAACGTCTCCTTTGTCATCCTTTAATCTACAATGGGCTCTTTAGCTGGTTGACGCACACCGTTCCTTGTGTGTGACGCACGTACACCAGTGGACTTGTACTATATACACGTAGTGGTACGGCTGCGCGTCGCGGCAAAATTGCAGTCAGGCAAGATGGCGTCACCCCCAACTGTACTTTCTTTGCCGGTGAGGGGGTACCTATGAACGTAGCAGACACATCTGGACTACATGGACCCATTCGGATATATTCCTGCTGATCAATTGCAAGCGATGGACTAACAGGTGAGATTTGTCCTTTTTTTCGAAAAACGCCTCAGCTAAACATGTTCATGTGGTAGTATAGTGAAGCAGCGCCCTCTTGTTGCCACAACCTCGAATTTGCAACACGAATAATTCGCTCGTACCCCCCGCCCAGCAAACAAAACGCTGGGATAACCTGATGAGCTTCACAGAATGTTGTTACGGAAGTGGCATATGACCTATGTATAAAACATCTGGCTGCAGCTGTTCAAGACCGCAGTTAGACAATGTGCGCAAATGCTATCCAAAAACTTCCCATAGAAATGCACGCGTTCCATACCGGATGTAATTTCATTGCGGACCATGTGGACAAAACTTTTGAGCGTCGCATAATGCAATCCGACCGTTCGTGATTCGAAACGGATCATGAGCAAGTGACGGAAATTGTAAAATTACAACACCGATAAGTTTTGCAGAATTTCCTACATTATTACGCTTTTTAACGAAAAAAATCTCTAAACTGGAATAAAAGAGTAATGAATCAGTCTTAACGGCCGTTTCAAACCTTGCAGAGTCATGACCGTGATGACGCGCAGGTCACAGGTCACGCAAAATCCAACCAATCAGAGCGTGAATTCATCAGAGTATTCCAGCGTCCTGTTTGCAAGGCGGGGGTGCGAGCGAACACGAATAAAGGATGGTTTCACTGGAGGGCGCAATGTTATTTAGGCAAACGATTAAAAAATAAGTAAGCTGCAAGGTACTTCTTACATTTAACCCAGAATGCTCTTCGAAACGCACAAGCTTTCTAGCACGAACTTGATGAACTTCAAGCTGCCATCAACTTGCTTACATTTCTTTTGAGACATGATTGTAACTTAAAGTACATGCTGTGTGGGGGTTAGTTAGCCGAATGGTCAGTGAAAAAAAGTCAGTAGTAATTTTGCAATTTTTTTGTTATGCAGGTAGGTCCTAATGTGGTATAAACTAAGTCCGAAAATTTGAAACTCTCAATATTTTGTGTGAGAGTCCCAAAACTTAAGATAGTTAAAAAAAAAAAAACAAACAAACAAACAAACAAACAAAAACATGCAACACAAGAAAATAGACTTGCACATGAAACAATCAGTCTAACACGCATTTAGTACCGCATCAATCAACTGTGTTAAAAAAAAAACATCTGGTACCGGTCTCTATTTCTACACATCTTTCCATAGTCTGCCACCAGACTACTGAAGATTTATTTTAGGTGCATTACATGTGTACTTTCATTGATTGATGATAATAATTATGTCTCTACGTACGCAGTTTATAAACTGTGTTGTCCATGAGACCATGATTTGCTATTCACCTGCAAAGACACAATCAAAAACACTTCCATCCTTACGTCCCATGAAATTACTCCTACCATTGCACTCATTAACATTCACAAAATATATACAGTGACAATAGGGAGACTACAACCCTCCGATGCTACATACAGTAACCACAACTATGGGTTCACACCGTAACCCGGTCGCTAACCCCACTCGCTAAGCACATATTCAATGCTTTACAGTTCAGGTCGCCAGCCAATGTCGGTTTTGAATGGACACCGCAAATCGCGTATACCGACGTCAACATTCACGACCGAAATATCGCTCCTCGCCGGTCGCAACACACGTCAATAATTTCACGTCAATAGTCGCGTCAAAGATTCGTAAAGGTGTCATGATCCAAATAAGATTTGAAACTTTGCATTGGTCTGTAGTGGTCAGTAGGACACCGCAAATCGCGTATAGGCTGGCGACCTGAACTGTAAAGCATTGAACTTTGCATTGGTCTGTAGTGGTCAGGGTGGCAGAGGGTATATGGAGACCCATGTGCCGGGGAAATGGTATGGGTAACCGTGGATTTAGAAGATTCGTTGGTGGGAGGCCATAGATGTCAATAAGATGGTAGCCAATGTCTTGGGGAATGGTGTGATGTTTGTGTATCTCTATGGCCTTTCTAATTCGTCTTGCATGGTAGTTCTTTGCAGAATCGAGTGATACATGACGTGTGGGTAACCATGGATATGTGATAAGCATTGGTTAGGAGGCACCAGATGTCAATAGGATGCTAGCCAATGTCTTGGGGGATTGTGCGATGTTTGTAGATCTCCTTGGCCTCTGTAATTCGTCTTGGATGCCAATTATTGGCAGGGGCGATGCGTGATCTCTTGTATTCTGAGGGGAAAAGCCCGGCAGTTAACTAGGCCCGCTGCCTTGCCACTTACACTTGACCTATAGGGGATTGGTCTCTTCACAGACATACTATAACGATTTTGAAAGACGTCGAACTCATCGTCGTTTACGACGGGACAGGACAAGATAAAGATGATGGGGGATTGGACATGCTTCAAGTTCATTCATTGTTAGGGCGATGGGAATGATGACATGTATAGTCATCAAATAAGAGTATCAGAGACTTGATTCAGCCTTGATTTTTGTTTGAACCTTGGCTGTACTTTGCAAAAGATCAAGAATACAAATTCTTCCTTTGATTATAATTCAAAACCTTCGAACCGCTGATCGGCATGGAGCGAGACGAAGCCCAGTAGCGCAAATCCAGACGTATTCAGAACTAATATAACAGCAAAGACCAATGGTGTGGCAACAAAGCACGCGACTAGCTATGTCTGCAGTGGGAATTTTGAAAAGATGTTTTTTTATATTTCTCGCTGAATCAAGAGAGAAAATGAAGAACTTGTAATGCAAATTGTACAGTACAGAAGAGGAGACCGTCTGAGAAAAGATGGCATAAAACTACCAGTTTTTTTTTACAAAATACCTTACTAGGATGTTGGTAAATGACAGTCTAAAGCATCCTGTAAAGTTATGGCACCTGGTATGAAGTCATTTGCAAGAAAATAACATTTTTGTACAAATTTCCAACGGTGGTCGACCACCGACCACCGTTGAAAAAAACCTTATTATTTTTCAAGTACTGCTCCAAATCTACCATTTTGTTAGTCCAAATTTTGTTTGCTATTGGTTACATGTTCATGAACGGGTGCGAGCCAGCTAGACTGTGTTTCCTTACCTTACAAGTTTCCGGCATCTATAAGTTGATCCATTTTATCTTTAGTGGAGTCAGGGAACCAAACTACCTGAACACTTTTGTTTTTCTTGGTTTCTCCAGCATTTTCGAACACAAAACTTCAAACCCATCAAATAGTTTATTTCTGAAAATTTCAGCAAAAGCCAATGATGTACATTCCCTTTAATTTGTAGGAGTTATAAGAAGCCATTTCTTTTTATTTTTACAAAAGCACTTACATGTCAATCTCTACACAGGGTTTTAAAGGGAATGTACATCATTGGCTTTTGCTGTTATGTTCAGAAATGAACTATTTGAGGGGTAAGTATAATAGATCAAATATTGTTAAACTGACATGTTTAAAGTTTTGTGTTCGATAACGCTGGGGAAAAAAACCAAGGAAAAAAAATGCTCAAGTAGTCTGGTTCCCTGACTCCAGTAAAGATAAAATGGATCAATTAATAGATGCCAGAAAATTGTAAGGTAAGGGAACCATTCTAGCTGGCCAGCACCCCGTCATTGACATCAATAGCAAACAACATTTTGACTGAAAAAAATGTAAATTTGGAGCAGTAGTTGAAAAATAGTTAGGTTTTTCCAACGGTGGTCGGCCGACCACCGTTGAAAATGTACACAAAAATACAATTTTCTTGAAAATGACTATACACCAGGTGCCATAATTTTACAGGATGCTTTAGACTGTCATTTACGAACATCCTAGTAAGGTATTTCGTAAATACTTGGTAGTTTTGTTTTTCGATGTTTGCAAATGTTGTTTATTCCCTTTAAGGTATCAGACACTCAATTTATCCTTGATTTTTTGTATGTTTGAACCTCCTCTGTACTTTGCGAAAGTTCATGAATCAATAACTCCTTTATTATACATTTTGGAGGCAGGCTTATCAAACAACATGAAGCGAGACACGACACAATAGCGCAAAGCCAGACGTATTCACCACAGTATTGAAATGGTTAACGGCATCGTGTTTTTTGTTATTTAGGGGCCATTCAGAATTTTCAATGTTTTAAAATTTCGACTTTTTTTCCAAATTAGTTTAACCCACCCACCCACCCCTAATTTCGATTAATAAAAAACTGAACATGTACATGTAAATGCACTTGCATGTACATGTACTTGAACACCATGTACATGTGTGTCTAGTTCAGTGACGGCGTGAAGTTGTCGGTCTTCCTCTTTTGCACTGGTGACCTTCAGTTTTCTTGTGTTTTGCCAGCTGATATGCTGTTGGGAATGACAGGCTGCAGTTTTGGAAGCCACAAAGATGACCGTGGTTTTGTCGTTTTCTGGATGAGGTGGATGACATGTGACATACGAGGTTGTGCCTGTCACGTGAGGTAGCTGAAAATATCAGGTTTGGGCAGACATCACATCACAGGCTGCGGTCCTCGTAGTCTTGGAGTCCAGTGGTTGAATAGTCCAGTTTTTATAGCGATTGGATACACGTAGGCCTACATGACGCACATTTACAGTACACAGTGGCGTAGCCACGGGGGGCGTGGGGGGGGGGGGGCGACAGCCCCCCCCCCCATGAAACCTTGCCCCCCCCCCCCAGTGCCCCCCCCCCCACTGAGATTTTGGGTTTCTAAAAAAATTATCATTGATCTACATGACGCCCCCCCAATGAAATGTTCCAGCCCCCCCCCCCCCCCCCCCCCCCCACACACACTGAAAAATTCCTGGCTACGTCACTGGCCCCGGTTGACCATGCACACCATGGCTCGAACTATAGTTTGATCCGGTACACTCGCCGGCCCCGTCCAGCTGTTGCTTCCCCGTCACTGTAGCGGTCCGCTCCCGCTTCAGTCCGGCCGTCTCTGCGAAGCGAAAGCTCGTACCGTGCCCACTCGGTTCAGCTAGAATCTTTGGCATACTTGGTTCCCCCAGTTAGTGTTGTGAGACTCCGACACCAGTGTTGAAACCAAGGAAAAGCCTGACGTTGGAGGAATCCCCACGAAGTTAA